AAATTTTCTTTGAAATAACAAATTATTTCAATTATTTTGTTATTTTCATAAAATGAAACAGCATAGAAAGGATAACTTTATTTTAAGATCAATCAATTTTCTGTATCAGTACCCAAGTTTCCAAAGGCTTCAGAAGAAGTAACAAATACAAAATACTTAAACCACGGGTTATCGTCTGCAGTCCAAGTCCATATCTTCGAACAATGCCTCCACCAATCTTCACCTTTCCTCCAATTTCTATCGTATCACCCATTCAAACTCCATAAAACACGTAAACCACCACAGTCAATTCTACACCGTCTCATATAAATTGCAGAAGCCTAACCATACCAGAAACACAACATACATGCACTGTCAACGCCATTCACATTCCTCCGATAAAACGACGCTTTGATGCTCGATCCGTCGAACTAGAAGGAAGCCGGAGGAAAAGGAGCGCGGGGTCATCACCATCGTTCCAGTGACCCAGTAAGGTCTGGCACGACCTTCGAGGCGATGTGTTCACCCATTTAAAGCATCCTCTCCCGTCCTCTCTCCCGATATTCTCTCTCACTTTCACTCTCTCGGATCGCAAGCTTGTACACATAAACCCGCATCGCCTCTCTTCGTACAGATGCACATGGCCAAATATACACAGAACCGGCATACATATGGACGGTGAGAGAGAGAGAGAGAAAAAGAGAGAGAGAAGGAGAAAGAGAAAGAGAGAGAGCACAGAGAATTAACCGCGGTATGGAGGGCATCGCGACGAAGGAGACGAGGGAAAGGGCAAAAGACGAACCGTATACATATATACCATTGGGTGGACGAAGTACGTGTGAACGTGAAAAGAGAGAAGACAGAAGGAGAAAGAAAGAGCGTGTCTGGTGGTAGGTCGGCTGCGAGCGAAAGAGGTGGCTGCCGCGAAGGGTGGAGCAGGATAGGATGCAACAAAGCACCGACAGGTCGTGTGATACCCCGTTACGTCACAGACGGAACAACTGGTTGCCTCATGGGGAGTTTGAGGAGCTCTCTCGTGTACCAAAGCCACGCGGCGGAAGGTCGAAAGGGAGAGGAGAGGAGAGACGATACCGGATGGGGGTATTCCCAGGTCCGCGGGACCGCGAGGGGAATCCCGCGGCCGTCAGGAGGGAGGATGATATATACAAAACACAAGGTCACGAGTACGGCTATAGGTATCTCTCTGTAAACACGGCCGGTGACGTAGCAAGCACGTGCTACGACGACGTTACCATGGCGGGGGCGATTTGAGGGACACCCTCTCCGCCACCCTCTCTTCACGACCGCTCTTCGTAACCGCTCTCTCTTCATACTCTCTTCCTTCTACTTTCGACTCCTCCTACCATCGCATCAGGACTTTTCTTCTCCTTTCTCCTGCCACGCATTGTTTCTCTTTTCCTCGTGCAAGATCTATCGGCTGGATCCTCTTTCGTTCTAACTTCGACTCTCGAGAGAGCAGAGATCTTCGAACTTTACGTATCAGTTCCTTCAGCCTCTTGGTAGTTCGTTATGGATGGTTTTGACCGATACGATGAAAGTACCGATTGAAGAAAGTGTGTCTTCTCTGTCAAAAAAGTGTCGCAAAAATGAGGGAACTCGAATAGAGTTCATTAATCCGATTTACTAAGGTGTGTTAGCTTTAGCGTAAGATGATTCAAGGGCTGTCTTAAGACGCTTACTCCGTTATGTAACTCAAAATGTTGAGTTTTAACTAAGGCTGCAACTCAAGGAATCGAAGCCCAAGGTTGAACGACTAATATAGAAGAGACTTTCTGTGGAACAATAAGAAGTACATCAAAGTGGTGGATTTTAGAAAATTTTGTCAAATGACGGGTAGTTCGGGAAGTATATCAGAAAGAAACGAAATTTTCTATAATTCGTTTATATATACCAAATATAAGGTATACAGCACAAAATATCTGAAATGATTTGATCTTATCGTTAATGGTCCGCCTTCCGCCTGCCGATTTTGTCACGTCCTATCATTAGGCAACGTTAATCCACAGACGCGTTGTTCGATGAAAGTCGTGGAGTTCTGTTCGTTCAACTCGGATCGAAGATCCTTCGCTTGGCGGACGGTGGAAGCAACTCTTAGAGTCCGGCGTAATAACCCTTTGAATAATACAATACGAGTCCAGTAGCAAAGTGCCGACGATATCATGACACGCTTTATAAACGCAATTACACTTCAGCATTCTGTTTGTTACTTGTGCCTGTAAGTCCTAGGGAAACACGACACGCTCGAGGCTTTTGACCCCGAGCAGCTGTCCTTCCGGGATATACACCTCCGTTCGTAAAGATTCGCGAGTAAAGGAGCTAAATCTGAACATTAGGAATTCATTAGGGACTTATTGAAACGTTTGATCCCCTTGTGTAAAATCACGCCCTGGTGTCTCATATCAGAGACTATAACGCGTGAGAAACATAATTTTGCTAAGAGGGTGAAAAAATAAACTCGTGATTTAAGAAATATCTGTTTTTTTTTCGTGGAAGTTCATTTTCCTTTGTTTTAAGATATCGAAGTTATTCGGGTTTTATGTATCATCGTTAGCTTCTTCACATTCACAGACATATTTGTCCAACAAATGTTACAATCTTTACCCGAATTAAAAGACACCTAGTATATGTACATGGACCATAGATGACAACACAAATTAGTTTCCTACCCACAAGAAAGAACAGTCGGAGATCATCCGACAAAATGATACGAAACAGTAGTCTGAATTCTTTAAAAGCGCGAAACAGATAAAAAGAGAAACCTTTCCTTCCGGTACGAAGAGATTCGGCTCTCTGAATTTTTCAAGCTATATCGTAACGTATTCCATTGAGGCAGACGAAAGCGTGCAGGACTCGTTTTCCCGCTACACTCCCCGAGGGTCAGTGCGTCCCTTTGTCGCCCCCTTTTCAATGCTGCCTGCTTGCCTGGCTCCAGCTCAGTAGCAGCAGCTGCCTCTCTCACGAAGAGACGTTTTTCAAAGTCCCCTTCCGTGCTAACGATCACCGGGTCTCTTCCTATCCCCGATACGAACACGCGACGAGGGTCGAAAATCCCGCTGGGAGATTATTTTTCCCTCGTCACCCTCCTACCTTCTCTCACTCTTCTCTCTCGTTCTTTCTTTCCGACCTGGCATTTCCGCCAACGAGAACTCGAAGGAATATTGCGAGCCTGGAATACGTTTCCTAGACGCGTAGAAACTTCTACCCTAACCCCTAGTCGACTTTATCCCAACGATTTCGTCCTTCTTCGACGATCTTTACCTCTGTCCTTGATATGTATGATCGAGTTCGGTTTCTTGGGATTATGATAAGCGGGTTTTGAATTTGGCGTCGTCGTTGGTATTGCGATAAGATTGGAGGTTTCGGTGATCGATAATTGTCGCTATAAATTTTGGTTTGTGAATTCCTGTGGCTGTGGCAAGGAAATGGATTTTAGGAATTTGATTTATCGAATATAGCAACGAGTATTTTACTTTGGATATATTACATGTATATTTTGATTACGTTCCATGTATCTCCACATCTATAAATTTTCCACAAGCGCATAGTCCACAGTCCAATCAACTTCAAATTCCATCAATCGTGATCAAAGTATCCTAATACAATTTTCTCTAAATTCACGTTAGAAAATCTCAGGAATAATTCTGGTCATTCACAACGATAATAACTTCCTAATACTTGTATTATCGATCTCATTACCATCCGATAAACATATACATTGTAAATAAAATTTCTTCTTCTTTAACGTAATCAATAACAATCGACATCCCATCAAAATCTCATTAACTTCGGATACTGGAGGGATCCGTATGCAGCAATCTAATGCACGTTGGTAGGACCAGCTCAGGAAACTAGTTCAAGTCTGGCCAAACTGTAGTGTTTCCTTCGAAATCGATCAGCTGGCTTCCACTGACAGTTGCAGTAGCCGTGTACTAGCCAACTTCGCTATAAACAGAACCGCGTATACTCTTCCTCGACGTCTAACGATTAATCGTCGTATTCTACAAACAGAGGTTCTTTTTCGGGCAAAGCTCGTTAATATTGCGTTAAGGTTTATTTCGCTGATTCATTCACTGGACTGGACTGTGACAATGACTGATGCATTTCGAGACGAGCATTCCATTCGGACACGGTGACGTTCCAAAGACGCTCAACTCCAATACTCGAGAAAGCTTCGACCCCGTCCGGAAGGCACAAAGACTAGGAAGCGAAGCGACGATGAATTATAGAGGCCCAGCAAACGGAGCACGTCGCTTCTCTGGCACAGATCGATATCCACTCCACGAACTTGCCAATGTATACCAAGAATCGATAACGCCATGCATTATCGATGGGTCTTCCGGTAGGACGTCCGACGTGCCCCGAAGCTCGTATCCTATTTGCCAAAAGGTAGAAACAGATAAGCCGTTTTCCACACTCTATCGTGCAGACGTGCTGTGTGGATCCAGTAGTTTCAAAAAAAAGAAACACGGCAAACTGGCAGAGCGGGAATTTCGTGGGAGAGAAATAGAATACTTACAATCAGTAACAGTTAAGGAAAATGTATCATTATGTCACTGTAAGTTATCTTCACATAGCGACATTATTTATTTTGTTCGTAAAGTAGTTGGTTAGTAATTTTGTATGGTCTGTCATTCAAGGTTTCCTGCAGTAGGTACCCTAAATATCATTTTCTTAAGTGATAACAAAATGAGAGGTGGTGGATAAGGCAAAACCTCTTATTATAAATTTACAACTATGCGTCCTTTGATTAAGACAAAGTAATCATGGACACGTAAGGATCGCAAACGAAGGTCATGCGAAGAAATGTATATCAATGCATATCATTTATGTTTCCGGAGAATATTAAAAAAAACGGTGTATATTTATATTACATTTTCTCTCTCTCATAAAATGAGACACACAATGTATAATTATTATTATTATGTATAATTATACATAGCAAGATCGTAACTGTACCTACAGCCTTAAGACGTCAGCCTACGTCTCCACTCTATATTTCAAATTACGATCTCGCTTAATCATGATTTACAGTACATCAAAATAAAATGTTAAATTACATTATTTACGAAATGGCCTAGCAGTAGCAACGCAATAATCTTCGAAAAATATGTGATATTTTTTAATTACGTTGACTAAGGGACGCTTATTCTATTTATTAAAAGCTGAAGTTAAGCGGTCATCGAACCGGCGTTTGGATCATTTTTTACCGAATTTCTAGCGAAACTTTTTCTTTGATGTTTTACGATGTTAGCATCGGTAATTAGCGAGTGACATTGATGATTATTAGCCAGACTACGCGGCATGTTTCTCTTTTCACCGTTGTTCGTTCAGTGACCCTTTGTCAGGATCGATATTTGGGGTAGATAGGCGAGGTAAATTATAAACGGCGGACTCTTCTTCACGCTACCACCTGCACACAGCTGTGTGTAAGCTCTGGATCAATAATTCTATCTAATTTATTTTTCCGACTGCGTCGCGGCGCGAATTTCCCGGCGAGAATATCAAACGCATCGCGATAGAATAATTTCAACTAACCGAATCATCCTCTAATCGCTAATAAAATATCCAATTCTCGAATAAAATAGAAATTTAGGATGCAAGTTACTTCCGTCCTTTCTTTCTTCTTAGTAACAAGTAATTAATCGACTATCAACTAGTTTTAATATTATTCATTATTTACAAAATTAAGTAATTAATAAATTCTTAATCAATTATTTGACCAACAAATCCTTCATAGAAAGACATTTTATTAAGGAAGGATAAAGGAACAATCTCCTTTCAATAAGCCCGATATTATCAATCATAATGACAATTGGTATCGCATTATGCAATCTATTCTTTCAATCCTAACACTTGTACCGTTGTCGCATTAAACACGAGGGTAGCGTTTTAATTGTTTCACGTATCGTGTCTCGATTATTCAACTTCTCACAATAGGTACCATAATAATTGCGTAAGATGAGTCGTAACAAGCAGCGTCGATAAGAAAAATCCATATCCACGGGCGGACCGACGTGCCAAGGTCAGTTCACGCAGATGACGTCCCCGCGACTGATTTATCCGAAACACGACGGAGGAAAGGAAAGCCGGGGATACGGCTGTAACTGGCCGAAGCGAGGAACGAGCAAATCAAAGCGAGACGAACGAGCAGAACAGCACGTGCACGTGTGCATTTCACGTGACACATACACACGCAGATTCCTAGGTACGTAGATGTAGCACACATATACACATGCACGTATGTATCGAAACGAATCATACATAGAGATGCGTATATGTGTATATACAAGTATATATATACATATATATGTGTATATGTATATGTATATGTATATATGTATACCATTGACCGGGATATCGTCTGTCTCGGGATGAATGAACCATTACGTCACGCACTTGTACTCTCCGATCCCCTTCCGCCTCTCTTTCCCTCTGTGTGCTTCTCCTCATCCGTCGATTCTGTCTCCGTCTCTCTTTTCCCCCGTCCTCTCGTGCTCGCATTATATTATGTGCAGCAGCAAGCATACCTTCCTCCTTCCTTCCATCGATTAGCGGCGGAATTCCAGCCGGGGAGGGAGAGACGATAGAGAGCTATAGTTTCGATGGAGGTCAACGTATCGCAGTGGCTCAGACACCCGGCAGACGTGTCTGCCGCTGTAAAACGCCGAGGGACGAAGGACGCGGGGATGAGAGTCGGAGTGGATCGCTTTCGTTGTACCACTGATACACTTTCGCGCTGTTACTCGCACATATCTTCGGGCGCAGGTGCATCGCCTCGCGTATCTCTTTCCATTGGATAGCATCGGTCACGTTGCAACCCCTGCAACTGTGTCTTTGTGCTCCTGTACCGAGAATCTCGTCGAATTTGCTCCACTCCTTGAAGCGCACTAAACGTTCCTTCTAGGTACACTTATATCTATTGGCGAATCAGTATGCGGGATGAGTAGCACTCTGGAACATGATGATGCAGGATAGTTGATGTTCTAGGTATAAGGAAACTAGTAGACCAGTTATAGCTTAAGAAATTGTTATTTGTTCCTGGTCAAAAGTATTGTAACGCATTATCCATTACGATCAATGGTAGATAACAAATAATAATTATTATAACTAATATTATACGCGTATGGTTCATTAAAATTTCTCGAATCAAATCGTTAGCCTTCCAAGATAGGCTCGCGTGGCTCTCGCCCAGTCTCTTTTAAGTTGGGATATAGTTTTGCCTTGGGACCATCACTATTCACTCTTCCATGGAAATCAGGTTTCTTCTCCTTAGGTCCACTTCTTTGCAACCAAATGTCTAACAAACTTTTAGGCGCATGGAGACTACCCTTGTGGAGTTGTTTCCCGAGTGACATTGATGTACTTGCCGGTGGCGACATCGGTGAATCGGTTGTTGCTCTTATTACGCTAGCTCGAGCAGTTACATCTTCTTTGCCAAATCTAAGAAATGATGTAAAAGGTTAATTGTCTTAGAATATTTTTTGAATGAAAAACAAAAGAAATGTTGCAAGAAATTATTCCTACCCATCTAATTCGCGCAACGCCTGATCCAATTCGACTTTATCTTTGTCGTCTTTGCTTCGCACTTCGAGGAGACAAGTTAGAACTTCAGAATGCGCAGCAGAATTATTCGAGTGGTGCTTTAAGAATGTTTCTAATTCTCCCCACAGCAGCCTGTAGTGTTCTTCCCTGCGTACACCACCTTTCCCACCACGGCCACCTCCTATACTTGGTAGTGGTAAGGTTTCGTGTTTTGCTTCTAATTGCAATAAACTGAAGATCACCTGTTTGCACTGTACAACCTCCTCTGCAGTAAGTTCTTCCTTTACCATTAAATCTGGCAATGGATCTATTAACTACAATTCACATGAATACTATTACATACTGAAGTTGCACTAGGATTTATCAACTAAATTTTATTTGAAATATGTACCTGTTTCAGATTGAACATAAGTGTACTAGAAATAGTAATTGGCCAATATTTCGTATGTCGTTCTAATCTAGATCTCATCTTTTCTGCTGGACCTTCGGTATTACAGTTTGTACTTCTTTTTAAAGGCACCAATACATTATTCCGCATCAATCTTCCAAAATCCTATCACAAATAATATATCAATTATAGAAAGATATCCTGGAGAAATGAAGATTTTTTTCAAAGGAAATGTTTAGAATGTACATATTTACAGTTATTCTGTAATCAGTGACACGGCCACCACAGCCTTCGCTAATAGAAGGTGGATCTTCTAATACGCTTCTAGCAGTTGATAATGTATGTATAAAAATTTCTCCACCATGTGCAGCGAGTAAATGAGAAATAGTTTTTCCACCACTCTTCCTGGCCATTTCCAACATTACTGATCTACCATTCAGCAAAAAGTTGATCAAACAAGAGGAAGGTCTACTATTTACATCTACAGGTGTGATTCTATGCATGGCTGTGCAGTTTTGCATTTCTGCTGCACTGCACCCTCGTGGTGTGCACCACTTCAAAGTTACTGTTTCATATTCTGATCCTTCTTCGAATCTTCTAAATGTTTTAATTAAAGCAGAATCTTGTGGATTTCCTATAAAGATATTCGTGTAATGTTTTCATGCATATATCATATTGAATAATTTATATTTTACAGTTAACAGTTACAACCTTTTAAAATTGCTGAATGGGCAGCTGAAGAATGAAATATCTCGACGTCATAATTTGCAGAAGAACTAGCATTCTGTTCTTCTTTCATTGGTATACCGGTTACTGTTGTACTAGCTAAATCATAGTGAGATAAAATTAAGTGAGACAATTTTGAATGTAATGCAGGTGCCTTGATAGAATGTACTTCTACTGTTAACATAGGCGAAACCTAAAACAAAATTTTTTTTGAATAATTCTATTCATATACAATCGAAAATTTACATATGAATGGTGAAATAAATAAAATACCTCTCTTGGTCCCTGACTAGTAACTTGTGACTCAATATTATTAGGGAAGATGTTCAGTATAACTAAATGGCAATAATCTACTGGTATTAAACTGAAATACAAACACAGCAATCATGTTATAAAATTATACATATACACAATGCTATGTATTATTGATTTAGATACTAACTGATCTGAAGCTAAAGCAGATTTATTTTCTTGCGTTAACTCATTCAAAAATATATTTTCCAAGTTTTTCATGTTGCTATTATCTCGTGCACTAGTAATACATATCACTCTTCCTCTATTAACAAGCTTACTAGTATTCTCATTTAATGATGTTCTCTTGTCATGTTGAATTTCTGAGCATTCGTTAAGCGTTTCAATCGCTACTCTCAAACCATGTATAACTGAATAATCTTCTCCAGGTTTTGGCATCTTCGTTGGTATTCCTAGAATGGCTGTACCATTCATTATCTGTAATCATAACGATCATAATTAGACATATTACTTTTAAATACAAATACATTACACATTCAATATTACTTACATGATTTAAATTTTGTTGCGATGGACTCCATGAGTTCAATACATATGCTGCACGATCGGTTACAACAAATCTTATCTGTAAAGGATAAAAAATCAAAATATACAGATTTTACTTGACAATAATAATTAAATAAAATAATATACCAATTTTCCGGTTGGGAAGAGATCCCACACTATTCTACAATATTCAAGTGAAGCTTCTACACTGCTGGTCCATAGAGATTTACAAACAGGTGCCAAAGGAATTAAGTTTTGACCGCGACTCTTTAGAAAATCAAATTCTATTGGAGCTTCAGTAGATATACCAAAATATGGCGTGTGATCCAAAACAAAAATAGTTTTATGATTTGCCGGATACATTCTTCTACAACATTTTAATAAACTGCTTTTTTCACATACAACGCGTGACAGTTCGTTAGATATACATTTATAGAAAGGGGATAATGCCTCGAGAATATACCATATTATAGGTTAGAGTACAAAATATTCTAAAGATGTTAAAATTACATGTTTTTATTATCATAAGAACATAATAGAGTAATTACATAATATATATATATATATCTAAAGAACTTCATAATCATATTGCAACATTATAATTATTTTTATTTATTTTATTTAAAAAGACATTGTTTTATAAATACAAATACAACATAATTGTTTTCGCAGAATACAAATTAATCGTGTATACTATTTAGAAAATAAAATATTATACAGTTGATGGGTTAAATGAATAGCTTTGGTAAATTGCTGTAGTATTATAACAAATTTTATTTGTAAAATTCGTCTTGTAATGTATTAACATTTAAAATTTCCCGGTGAAGCCCAATGCATTTCCGTTTTATTCTCTCTTCAATTACAATTCCATATATTTATGAAAAATTCAAATGCTACTTTTTTCAGACAGTTGACTTAGAATGTAAAATTATCTTATAATTTTTACAATAATATGGAATACTATATGAGAAAAAGTAAATCTTTTCTCCCCTTCTTTTCTCTTAACAGGAATTAAAGCATACAACTTCCTTTCCAACTGGAAGTCTCCTAGTGGCATTGATAACGTGAGTATATTGAAATCTTTTTCTTTATTTATAGCGTTTATTTTATGTGAAGTATAAAAAATTGTTAGTTAAATAGTAAAAATTGTATAGGGATTAAATTTCATGTAAAAATTTATATTAATAACAAGTGGTTACAATAAATTTATATTATAACCTTGCGGGCTGATACACGTGGAGTATCATTCAAATAAATTTTTAATAATATTTACATTTTCTGGTGTTATAAATTTTCGTTTTTTGTTAAAATTTCTATATTCAAATAGTACATTAATTTAATATATTAATATATTAATTTAATATATTACACAAATAATTTATTTCACATTATGAAATAAGGTTATGTATAAATAGATAGTAGGAAAATAAATGAAGAACGTCATTAATAATTATTTGTTTAGATCAATTCAATAATGGTGTATATTAAATTAGGTTAACAATGTATATGTTTAGGTTACTCGTAATTCAACCACAACGTTAAGATGTCAGGAGGTTTAGACGTATTGTCTCTTAAAGAGGATGATGTTACTAAAATGTTAGCTGCATATACGCACCTAGGTGCTGAAAATGTGAACTTCCAAATGGAGCAATATGTGTACAAGAAGAAGAGCGATGGTATGTTTGTTTCACATGCAATACAATACTCTGATTGTTAATTAAAATGGTCAATATATTATTTTAAAATATAGGTATTAGCATTATCAATCTGCGTCACACTTGGGAGAAATTGCTATTAGCAGCACGTGCCATTGTTGCTATTGAACATCCTAGTGAAGTGTTTGTCATCAGTTGCCGCCAAACCGGGCAAAGAGCTGTTCTGAAATTTGCGCAGCATACTGGAGCTACTCCTATTGCTGGACGTTTTACTCCTGGTGCTTTCACTAATCAAATTCAAGTTAGTTAATTAGTGCTAAGCTTACCCTGTCTGGTCAAATGACTGGTTTCAAAATTTAATTTAAAATTGTATATATTTATTTTATATTTATTATACTATTTTAAATGATGAACATTTATTTTCCATAATTTATCTCTGTTGGTTTAATTTGGCTTAATCTTTTCTGATTTTATTTAAAGTATGAATATTGTGGTATTATCAAATTACGATATAATAATGTTATCAATTATTTTCAGTCTGCCTTCCGTGAACCACGTCTGTTGATCGTTACTGATCCATCTACCGATCATCAGCCGATTACCGAGGCCAGTTACGTGAATATCCCAGTAATTGCTTTCTGTAACACCGACTCACCTCTTCGTTTCGTCGATATTGCAATTCCCTGTAATACAAAGAGTCTCCATTGTGTCGGTCTTATGTGGTGGTTGTTGGCAAGAGAAGTACTGAGATTAAGAGGCTCTATTGCTCGTGAAACCAAGTGGGATGTTGTCGTCGACTTGTTCTTTTACAGAGATCCAGAGGAGGTTAATATTTATACGATTCTAATAGCATTTACTTCGTTTTGTTTAATACTTGTATATAGTTTCTATCTATACTTATACTTGCTAAATGATGAAAAAATAATATTCAGAAATACAGTTGTTGACCTTATAGAATATGGCTTAATCTTTGCTGAATATATTTCTGGAGCTTATACGTATTTTAATGTAAATGACTAGTAAATAAATTGTCGAAATAATGTTTCTACAGGCTGAGAAGGAAGAACAAGCTGCCAAGGAAATTGCACCTGCTAAAGAGTTTGCAGGAACGGTTGAAGTTACAACTGCTGCTGAACCTGGGTGGGTCAATGAAGTTGACACTGGTACAGTAGCTCCTGAAAATTGGGCAGACGACGTAGCAACTCCAACCGCAGCAGCAATTCCGACTGCAGGAGCTGCACAAGCATTCCCAGCTAGTGGAGATTGGGCTGCTCAGGTAATAATGGAATTCTCTTATTTTTTGTAAAATAACCATATTAGAAATAAAGCAAAACATTGTTATTTATTATTTCCTGCTAAGCAGACTTCGGACGAATGGTCCACTACAACACCATCTGCCGCAGGACAAAGTTGGGGAGGTGCCACAACAGAGAAGTGGTAATATCATTCTCTTTGATAATTTTTTACACTGACAAACTTCGTACAGTGTATGAAGAAAAATAAATATATAAAAATTTCAACATATTTTTATTATTTACATCATAGACCGACAAAAATAGGGATTTAATTAAAATAATCCAATAATAAAGGTACATAAATTAATCTTTCCAATCACATATTTAATGAATTTATTACGAAACATTACCTTATACCAATGAATATAATTTTATTGTACATTAGTGCCTTTCCAGTCTACAAACAAGCCATTTGCTGCCATCTATTATATAGGAAAGGAACTGAAACTTAATCCATTTATGGATAGATGGCAGCATAAGACGTGTCCGAAGACAGGAATTAAGTTTCATGTTTTGAAAGGTCTGTCAGCCAAACCGTGTGCTGCCATCTATTAGAAAGGAGAGGAACTGAAACTTGGACCATTTATGGATAGATGGCCGCGTGGGACTTGTCGGAAGACAAAAATTAAGCTTCTTGTCCTGAAAAGCCTGTCGGACAAACCATGTTCTGCCATCTATTCATGAACAGTCCAAATTTCTGTCCCTCTCTTTGGCAGTATGTGGGTTGTTCATAGAAAAGGAGAACATTACAGTGTAACAAAGATAGATATACATCTTGTGTTAGAAGAAGATGACTATATTGTGTGACGAGGATAGTATATCTACTGTAAGATAAGGACAGAGATAACGTGGAATAAGAACCGTACAATCGACTATGATATGGTATCCTTATAATTTGGTTTATATGTTTCATTTTGTAATTTACTTATAGAATTAATAATGCAGGTCTTGTAATATTCTTATAAACTCTATTTAATTCGTATATAAACTTTAAATTTTATCTTCATTCTAAATTACAATGTGGATGGTGTATATTATGGATATATATATATATATATATATATGTCGGAGATGAAAGGAAAACCGGAGCCTTCCCTTTGCAATTTTGAGAAAAGTCCTCTAATGCTTTAGCTTAGATTTTATCATAGCTGTAATTAAGCAATTGTTATCATTCGATCTGATTGTAATTGTTCGAGATTTGTGATAACGAAATTGGGTTCGAGGTGACAACTGGTCGCCGAACGTAGCCACAGTCACGGGATAAACGTTTTGCCTGACGAAGGTGTGGATCGGTTGTATAGTTCTCCCTAGAAATGTGGTTGTGGAGGCATACGGCCTCAAGAACGGGCCTGGCTACATAGAATTGTACTTTGGAGATGTCGATATAATGGGACACACGTTGTATTAAGAATCAAACTCCAGAAACTGCCTAGCAACGGCGATTGGAACCTTCTCGATGCTTCCAGCGAGCATATAACAAACAAATACAGTCGTACAGCGAGAAAGATTTTCATCAGATCATCATTCGTGTGATCACCTTGGAAAGTGATACATTGAGCAGTTTACCGAGCGTCTCAGCAATCGTATTTTGTGTCTAAAATTATTCTACGCATAGTAAAGAGTTATCCCGTTGACCGTGGATTCGTTTGAACCCAAGAACATTGTTAATAGCGTTTATTAAACTCATTATTCGTTAAACTTATTATTCGTAAAACATATTATTCGTTAATCGTATTATTCGTTAAACTTATTATTCGTTAATCTGATCATTAGTTAAACTTATTGTTTGTTAATCTTATTATTCATTAAACTCAATATTCACAATATTTTGTAAAATCTTGTATATACGCGTAAATATAATTCTGTTTTGTAAAACGATGGCTAATTCAAACGAAGAATCATTACGCGCCTTAAATTCTAATGTTAACCCGACATGTATATATATATACACATACATATATATATATATATAGTGTATATGTACAATATCTATGTAAAAATAGATTATTTACATTTTTTCTTTTCCTTTACGTAGAAGAAATCTTTGTAATTAAAAGACTTTTCTTTCTAGCTTTCTTTTTAGCTCTTTCTTTCTTTCTAGCTATTTGTGCGAAATAGAAATTAAATTATATGAAAAAGAAAATTACAGAAGTGCCAACACCACACGGAGTTCCCAAGCGGTCAACCATCTAAGTACTATCCGTGTCCAACGCTGCGTAACTTTCGTGCTCGGACGAGAACGAGTGATTTCAACGCGGTTTGGGTGTTGACACATACAGTAGAGGATGTAGACTCTTTTACTTTGTTCTTTGCCTTGGATGAAAAGTTGTTGCTCATTATTAAGATGATAGTTAATTTCTTTCCTCTAATCTTCTTTAATCTTCTTCAATATTTAATTAGACACCGACCAAATTCTTTGCCATACAAACATCTTTAAAAACAAATAACATATATTATTTTATGAATTTCATTTAAAAGAACGTTTAACTGAGATTAGGAGTAATGTACTTTTGACAAAAACAAAATCTACAATTCAAATG